CTATTATACAAAAGAATCAACGACCTATTAGTCTTTTACGTTTTGTAACTCGACTAGATGGTCGACATTTACTGTCAAAGATGAGTAGTGATGCTGAATTACAATCGAAGGCTTTGACTCTATTTTCGGAAGATTCAGAATCTTTTGACATGGCACAAATCATATATGATTCCGATAATGAAAATCACAATGATGATCACGATGTCGAATATCCCGGTGCTGTTACTACCGCAATGACCGAACAACAACCAATTGAGCATGATCTCGATGATATTCGTCAAAAGACATTGGAACATAATCGACAACAACTTAAAGGAATTCAATTTGCAAATGCAGGTGATGGAAACTTAAAAGTAGTAAATAGTTACGCAGTTACTTCAAATACGTGTACTCTTATTTAAATATGTACTTTTATTTGTCTATCCTACTCCGCGATGTTAAACATTCAGAAACCAATTAAACGTCCTCGTTATCTTTCGATAAATCGACAACATCATAAATTCATATCAATTTGAAAGCTCAATTATTAAGTCAAAGGATTGAAAAAGATTTAAGCAGTTTAGTTTCAAGGTATTACTAGATTAAATGAATTCAGATTTATTTTTTTGAAAAATTAATTTGACAGAATACTATACTGTAAGATTAATAAAATACATAAAGTCACAAATAATCAAGTTGATTTCTATTTCAAATATCAAGACTTTTGTGCGATCATGATTCTTTCGAACTTGCCGGAGAATGATTTCGTACAAAATCTAATTTCAAGAACTTTCAAAGCTTCTTGAACTGACAACTAACTGTAGCGTCAATTCTATCGATCTGTAATAGATGTACGATCCGAAAGCTTTGTACAATTCTCGAAACCAGAACAAATCATTATATTCAATTGATCGATATGTCGATATCGAAAGACATTTTAGCATTTTCTATCATGTTACTCTTGTCTCTGAAATGTTGAACGTCGCGAAATAGGATTACCGTGCTAGTTAACAGTTAATTACAACCTCATCAAATAATCTAATCTCAATATGATATCTCAATAGGTTTTTTTTGTGAATCAATTTTACTCTATTATCAAAATAATAAATATTTATTATATACAATATACACAGTTCACATGCTTTATCTACCGCATGTGATTAGATAAAACAAGATTACATAGGTACCATGGGCATGGCATTCATACATGCTCGTAACCGATTGGCTATTTTAATAGTTATATTATCTATTTGTCAAAGATTTCTTATCCAATATTGCTATTTTCTAATTTATTCTTAAGAATTGATCCTGTTCAGTTATAGTCGAATTTGATTTTTTTAGATGTGTATTACAATGAATATCTTAATACTAATTTTAGTATAAATTTTGAGACAGAAAAAAAAGAAGTTTTTTTTAGACAGGTGTATATAAAGTAGAGTAAGATTTTCACTATGTGAAAAGCCTATCGGTGTTCATCGGAGGAAACTACGATAAGATGAGCTTGATTTATGTGAAAAAAATAATCCAGACATTGATTTGATAAATAATGAATGATGATGATCTTATGTTTTTTTTAAGATAAAACTAGACTCAAAGAAATATATCTAAATAAAACTACTTCATATGATAAGTAGCAGTTTAATCTATATGTATCAGCAAACATATTATCATTTTCAAACTTACTTCTGAATTCAAAGAACTTAAAAATTTCAATCTTGATTATTCAAATTTAATATTCTAATTCACTTTCTCATGTGAAATAATATGTTGCGCTCGGCTACAGCTACAATGCGGACACTTTTTTTAACCAATTAAGGTAAAATGTCCGCAAAGCAGAATCATGGGGTATAGACAAAAATAACCGCATTTTGAAAATTGTCCGCAAAGCAGAATCGAGGCAGAGAATGAAAATGTCCGCATTATAGAATCAAGAAAAAATTTATTATGTGAAGAAAGAGAAAGATACAAGTAGTACGAGATGATTCAACATTCAACTATGCTTTGGTTCATAATCTTCGTCATCTTTGTCAGATGTATCCAATATGTGAATGTATCGGTAACAAAGAGAACGTAGTCTTTTTTGATAACCATCTAAATCTAGTAGACCATTTAAATAATCTTCTTTTGCTTGTACTAAAATATTTTCATTATTAACTGAAGTTAGCCTTTTTGGACGAGTTGTTCGTTGTTGTGCGTGTTCCGGTTCTAATCGAATCATTACTGATTATCGTCGATAGAATCGATTTGTCTGTACTAATTTTCTTACTATTTCTACTTTTTTTTTGATTCTATAATGCGGACATTTTCATTCTCTGCCTCGATTCTGCTTTGCGGACAATTTTCAAAATGCGGTCATTTTTGTCTATACTCCCTGATTCTCCTTTGCGGACACATTTTTCCTCCAATTAAGAAAAATCGCCCGCAATCAAGCAGACACGGTTGCGCTCATTTTCAACTTTTATTTTAAAACAAAACAACGAGTTATTCGTTGACGTTCCGTTGAATTCGACCCAATTACACGGTTATAATAATAATTTGATTTTAATGCAATTGTTTATTACTTATAATCATCAAATGGATATTTCTTATTCAATAAAAACAATATGAGACTTTTATTTCTACGTTATTGAACAAGAATGAAACAGTTAGATCATCCTTCGCGTGTGAAGCAGATTATGTTGTATAGTTATTGACCAAAATAAAAATTTTCATGCTCGGTAAGATAACAAATATACCTCAAAGGTGAGAAATTGTAGTTTGTAGAATAACTGATCAGTTCTTAGAAGATAAATATTTAATTTACGTTATGTTTGTATAATTTTTTCCAGTAAATCTTTCGTGCTTATTAAGACATATTCATGAGAATGTATAAATTCAAATGCATGTTTATTTTCATGAAGCAATCAGATAATACTTGTTTTTTAAATTCTGAAAATAAAGTTATAATAATTGGGTAAATTTTGAATATGCATTTTAATGGTAGAACAATCAACTGGTTATTAGACGACATACATTCGATTCTCATTCTGCTACTATGACGTTTTCTATTCAGTTTTTGTACGAAATAGAGAATGTCAAATGGACTTGTTCGTTTTAATTCTATGAATATAATTTTATGAACAAGTTTGTTAGCGGGTTCACCTCCCTGTTGTTAGATCTATTTTGATGTTATATAACCTTGATCACTCTTTGTTATTTGTCCTTAAGTTTGACCTTTGATCTAGGTAGTCGATATATATATATATGCACGCTATTCCTTTTCTTTTTGGTTCATTATGTAGCTTAGTTGTCATGTGTGTGTGTAGTGTGATGAATGAAGATGTACGTGTATGTGAGGACATTTCTTTGATTCAGTAAAATAAATGGAAGAAGATTTATAACATCATATTCCCCTAATAAAGTTAAATGATAAAAAATAATTCTTCATAAATTTGTAACCAGCCTTCTCTTACAATAACAAATTATCTACATTCACTGGAACCATCCTCACTTTCAGTAAAAATGTCTTGTTCACCGAATAAAAACTACACTCAATTCATTACTTTTTGCAACATGTATAATTGACTTTCATAAAAATAATACATGTCAAATAAATGAAGTTTCAACAAACGATTCAACTCATGAGATATATTTTTCATTCATACAAATGTCTTAAATATAGATTTTCAGTTGATTTAACGTTTAAGCTTAATTAACTATTTGTTGTGGTGTTTTTGACTAAAATAACTCACCATTATTGTTATACTATTTGAAAGTTCCACCCAAGAGCTACGAATTCAGATGAAATAGATACAAACATATCGAGTTTTTATCTCAAGACTATATATGTAAAGGTATGAATTATGAGCATGAGTATAATGGTATAAGTTAGGAGTTTAGCTATTAAAGTATAGGTATTCATGTGAAGAAAGAAAGCTTTACTATTTACCTCAGCTTTGGTTCTTCATTTTGATCTGCAGTTCTTGATGTAAAGGCACAGTTGTAAAAGTTAGTGTGTATTGTTGTATCCGTCAAAATAAGACTATTTTGGAGCATTAATACTACTAAAAACTAAGTACAAATTCCGTCACACATGACATGACGACACACAGTCGTAGTATTGTTCTGCTAAGAAGTTCATTGACAACTCGTAGACGATTCTATAATCATAATTGTCAATAAACGGACCTTTGCGATCATTGTAATGATTAAACTGAGTAAATTATCTCTTGCGTTAAATGATTTCATAATCATCATATTCAGGTATTAAAAACACATATATTGATTTGAAATAAAAATGATTCGAGTAAGACATTTGACTATATTTTTGATTTCTTTAGTTTTTGAAGGTTATTTTAGACAAATACTTCATTAATTTCACAGATATTTGTCATGTTCAATCGAGTTTACATCTATAACTCATCAGTGTCTATTACTCTAATACACAAGACAGTCTCATTGGATATCTTTTCATTTCAAAAGGTAGATGCTTTTTTTTTCGTGATGTTTCAATCGATTGTGACCCTAAAGACAAACTAATGATCTATACAATTGTTCATTTGATCATCTCTTTTGCTCAGATACCATTATATTTAGTGAGATTATTCGTATTATTAAATACTGTACATATATCACCTATTTCGATGAATGTCAGGCTAACAACAATGAAAGTGATAATCACTTATTAGAAGTTTTTTAATTATTTGATGAGATTTTGAGTGTCATTCGTAAAGAAATCGAATCATGTGATTATTTTCAATGTTTTCATTTTGTTCCTGAACTTCTGCATGTTATTGGTTCAAACTTCGAAACATTACTGATTAATTGACTATGACAAGAATTGTCCGATCATATGTATCAAATTAACTTTGAGATGCTATCTAACGTTGTTTCTTTTAATTATGATTAACAGGTTTTAGTACTTTCTTATGATCGAACATATGTAAACAGATCATGGCGCTAAATAATATCACTTTATCTATGGATCACTCGATGGAAAATGTTCTCTACCGATTGTATTGATATTGAAACTTGATAGATTTATATTTCCATACAGTAAATAAACATCACCGATTTACACTAATCTAAATCAGTTGATATAAACTACTATGACGTTCAATGCAAGCACTTCAATGTCTCAATAATAAGGTTTTATGTAGATATGCTTTTGAAGAAGACATAGTGGATTGCATCATGAATCAGTGCAACTACAAGTGACATAAAATTGTCTATTCATGTGGGTGGACGCTATGGATTAAGATGAACAATGCATTGATACCCATGCATTCCCTTTCATTCATCACCCTCTCCACACACACCCTACCTCAAAACAATATTCATAAACGGTTTCCCTGTCGATAAAGACTTTGAAGAGTCGGTGGTCACTGAAAAAAAATCTAACTGATCGATTGAAGCAAACTAGAAATATTGAGTGTTTTTATCATCTTGTTGTTTATGAACAATCCTGTACAAAAGAAAATTAATGGATTATTTTCATAATAAAACAAAATTTAATTAGATGAATATACATTCACTATGTCAAAAAATAAGGCTACGATAATAACAGCCAGAGATCATCACAGGATAGGGCTGTCCTGATGCCCCTGCCCTGCCCTGCACTGGCATCAGAAAAGGGCAAAAGACTTTGCCCTGAGTTTATAAAAAAAAAGCAATAAAAACTAATTTTAATCAAACTTTTAGGATTTAAATTGTATTATTTTAATGAAATTATTTTATAATCCATCCGTTTCAGTAGATTGAAATTAACTTTTAAAAACTAATAATTAACCGACTAAATAAAATTAATAGATCAAAAATTGATTAGAACTCGAGTGAACTTTATTCTTTTAGTGCATATATCAAGAAGTCTCCATATTATATGTCTTATTCACGGAGTTGAAGAAGTTTATGTACATGAAAAACAATTTTGATGAACGAGCCTAAATTAGCAGTCACTTTTCATTCTCAAAATCTAACTTTGAATCGGTTCCATTGAAACATAGCTGATTTGTTTCTAATACTTTCAAAGAATAGAAAATAATTCTATATTAGAAGAAAATTTGATAGGATGACTTTTAGGTCCAGACTTTTTCTAAAATCTTTTCCCAGAATTCGTTGAACTGTTTTAGACTCAACACATAAAAACCTGATTTTTCAGTGAAATGCCATTGTTTTGTAACTCAGATTGAATTATTCTTGATCAAATTTTTTTTCTCAATCAAAAACAAACGAATATTTTGTGATATTCTTCTGTTTAAAAATGTCTCATTGAGTTTCAAAAAATATTTTCGAAAATCTTTCGCTTCAAAGATAAATTTTAGAATAACGTTAGCTCGAAATAGAAGACCAGTTTTGGAAGAGCACCGTGAATTTCTATTTCTACAATAAAATCCCATTACTTTTTATTCTACGAAGGGTACACAAGTTTAATTTATGTATATTTTAGTTTACAGGTGTAAGAACCAATTACGTAGTATCGTACTTGGAAATATGTTGTGTCCAAGATTTGTTAAATGTTACAGTTATGATTTGGTCAGGTTAGCACTAAAGTAAAGAAGAATGCAGCTTTTAAGTTAGATCTTAGGTAAAGTGCCCATGTAAAAATTCGACAAAAAATTAGATTAAAAGCGATTATTTCTTTTTATTAAAAATTGATTAAAATGGCACGATTCTAATCTGATTTTAATCGAGTTTTTCTAGTTGTAAAGGTAGATTTCTCTGACTCTTTGGATTTCCTAAATTAATTTTAATCGATAAAAAGGCATTAATCAATTAAAAGCCAATAATAATTTTTATCGATTGCAATCAATTTAAAAAAGGTCGCAGAATCAAGGATTTTCGCCTTTGAAACTGCTCATGGAATAAACAAATAAAAAAAATGGTGACTTTCATGTGAAAAACATGAAAAAATTGCATTTTTCACAGTGAAACGGACACAATCATGCATGTATTTGATTTTCATTGACTATACTGAAAATTTTCATCAATCTCATCTCATGATTGCGATTTTTAATCATTGTCATTATGACAATTTTGATTAGAAATTAAAATCATGAGATGAGATTGATGAGAATTTTCGTTTTAATCAATGAAAATCAAATACATGCATGATTATGTCTGTTTCATCATGAAAAATGCCAATTTTTTCATTTTTTTTATTCCCTAAGTGGAAAGATACGATTAAAATCGAGTCACTTTAATCGATTTTTAATCAAAAAACTAATCGATGTTTATTCGATGTCTTGCCAAATTTTATTACATGAGTGTGCTTCATCCATGTCGTGATTACCAAAGCTAAAAAAAAATGAATAGTCTGCTTAAAATAAGAACATATCAATCGAAAACCTGAACGGAAAAAATCTAATAAAATTAAATTTGTTCTTAATTTATTCATAGAGATGCTAACTTTCAGTACGTGATGTTTGATAATGACAAGTCGAATTTAATTGTGACATTCTGTCGAAATAATATATGAAAATACAGATATTCAACTTAACAACAATAGCATAATTTTTCTGAAATGTTTAGATCTTATAATGCGCGGTTTCTGTTCAGTCTGCCCTGCTATGAAGCCAGGGCAGGGCGTGAAAAAATCGCCCTATGACGGTCTCTGATAACAACCTCTTCATTGCAAAGATTGGTAGCCACTAAACTCATTAGATATAAACCTATTAGGTCATACGATCTAGAAAAATATATTTGCCAATGTTAGTGACTACAAAATCGATGCTTTGTCTTATGAAATCAAGAAAAAAAACTTAACAAAACTAAAACATAATCCAGTAATACGTTTATGTTGTTTTTTAACACCATATTGTTAGTCTTTACTTTGTCTGCTATAAAATTGATCTATGTGAAATATAGCAAGCCTTTTTGCCATAATCGTTACATATGCAATAATGAGTTTCAATAATAATGTAGTCCCATATTGCACAAACTAAAATTGTCGACAAAATAAAATTCAAAGATAGAAAGTGTACATTATTATAAAACAACTGGATACATTCACATAAGAATGATTTCAGACAAAAGTTACAATAAATATGGATGGTAGCGGACATCACACACTAAAAGTTGTCGAGGAAAGTTTATCAACTAGAATGAAGGAATTTTTTTTTTAATGACAAATTGATATTTGCATCTGTTCTCACAAATTATTTGAGAGAACTTCAACAGAAAGACGTCAATTTGTTTTTCATTTTATGGATGTTGATAGAACATCCGTTCTAAACTTGCAGAAGACGACTATAAATGCTTTTAAAGAATTATTCTTATTCATACAAAGGCATCAAACTGAGATGATAATACATAGATTGTTGCTTTTAATCTGGTTTATACCAGTTAATACTCATTGTTCACTCTATCGCTCTGATGTTGATCAATGATCTTATCGTACATTTGATTGTTTGCATTCTTATGTAATTGATGGTGACAAAGAAACTGGTGGACGTTACATTCAGAATTCTCATTTAATTCCTTATTGTAGACGACTTGATCATGATGAAGAACAAGAACCAATTTTACATATATATGGTGAAAACATAGCAGAAACAATTACTTTTGAAGAATTGAAGAAACAAGAAGTAACAAGTGATCAGTTACTTGAATGGTTTGCACCTATCGATGTTGCAGAAAAGTATGAAATGAATGGAAATAGTAGAACGAATGTGTTTTATAATTGTTCATCGTCTTGGTTTGGTTCAATGTGTCAATATAAATTTGTCTACAACTTATCTCTATCATTCAATGATATTATTGATATTACTCTGAGCAATGAGAAGAGCATTAGATATAATTTTACCAGTGGAACATGTTATCGATTTTTAACTGATTGTAATAATGGATTATGACCATTTTGTTTCGATTGGCATGAAATTTGTGATGGAAAAATTGATTGTTTGAATGGAACAGATGAACAATGGTGTGATCAATTAGAACTTACTAAATGTAATGATAATGAATATCGATGTCATTATGGTGGTCAATGTATTCCATTAACATTTGCTAGAGATAGCAGATTTAGTATTGATTGTCTTGATGGTAGTGATGAACAAGATTATTTTATGGCTGAAACTCCGTCGATAAACGCACCTTGTTCACTTGTCACGACATTTCGATGTCAAGAACGCATTAGCCGATATCCACGATTATTTCAATGCGGTGATGGACAATATTTGATCAATCTTAATATTCCAACTTATAATTCTTATTGTCGGAATAAAAAAGACAAAGAATTATCTCGAGCTGTGCTTACTTCAATGGATCATATTTCGAACATTAGTTGTCGAAAAGCTTTCTATTGTGCACTTCATTTCAATCGAACAATTAGTTTAAGTAAGGAATTTTTTCCACTGTTCAATATCTCGAGTTTCTAATGTTATGAATGGATTTCTATACTTTGATATCATTAAAGGACTAGTCCGAAAATCAGCGCTAATTGGCTTACTTTCAAGCTTCGACTGAAACCCATATGGTCCTAATGGACATATGACGAAGAGTTATTAGACACTCTTTTCAAGCTAAATCAATTGTCTTTGAGGATCATTTGAAGGCTTCTCAAAAATGATGCCGAGATCCTACATAGAAACATTGCAATACAGATAGTATTTTGTCGATATTGTATTACAGCCCTGATAAATTGAGTTCAGTCTTTCATCATCGGAAAGAGCTTATCATATTGCATAGGACGCTGTAAGAATCTATAATTGACTTCCTTCTATTGGATCGTCACAAGATTACTTTTCATGGTTCATACATGAGCTTGGCAGTAATAATGGAGACTTTAATAAGTCTCGTACAAAAAAGTCAATTTAAAACAGTTTGAAATCGATACTATCCAATAGTTTTTTCTAAGCTCTACAAAATTGGTACTATTGTATTAAACTTCACTGCTTGGTAAGCTACTTCATATATGCATAGAATGCTTATGTGTATCGCAACATCACATATTTTTGACTCATATAGAGTAAACTTTAGCTACAATATTGAGTTTTTCGATCCGACAAATATCATATTTGGAATCAGCCTAATAAATTAAGTCGATCTACACATATTCTCTTATTTTTCAAGAGTTTCCTGTTTACTGGGAAAATTCAGAAGAAACCCTGGCGCTCATAGATACGTTAAAATATTGTTTTCGTAAAAAAATCAGTTTAACTGTGAAAAATTGACTCTAAACTCTTCAAAAGCTGAAAAGGTTCGAAAAAAAATATGGATGAATAGTGAAAATGGAGCTTGCGTGCACTTCGGTTATTTAAATAAATGTCAGTGATAATATACATGAAATGTTCAACAAAAAAAAGTCTACAAAAACATCTGAAATATACATATGTCAACTTAGTTTTTGATGCTGACTACAAATCTTTCGTAGATTTTTCACTTAAATCATTATTTTTCAAACCACAATGTGCTTTATAACAGTCAAAAAGTTATCAAGTCACGTATCGAAAATATTTTGCTTGAGATTTTAGAAGCAACGAGTTTTTTCTGAATTTGGAAAATTCATGGCTTCATAGCTTTTGAAAAATTGATACATACAGATTCACTTCAACAAAAGTTCTAGGATGTTTATTGGTCGATAAGCCAATGGGAGAAATGAAATTTTCTGCTAACATACTATTCATCACGAATGAAATGGCAAATAAATGACACTAATATACGTCTTGAATAGACTAATTCTTTATTATGACTGATAGAGGTGGGTGTGGGTGTGTGAGTGTGTGGGTGTGGGTGAGTATGTGGGTGTGAGTGTGGGTGAGGGTGTGGGTGTGGGTGGTGTGTGGTGTGGCTGTGGCTGTGGCGGTGGCTGTGGCTGTGGCTGTGGGTGTAGGTGTGGGTGTGGATAAAGAGTAGACACACCCACACCCACACCCACCCACTCACACCCACCCACACCTTTATTATGAAATTGACTTTTATGCTGGCAAAAGACATTGTATTTTA